CAAAGAAACACTACAAAAGCTCTGTGACATATGTACAGAATTCTTCAATTGCAATAACATAAATATCAATGGATCCAAATCAAGCCTAATCATCTTGAACAAAAAGAACTATATAACAAACCACATATCAATTCAAAACCAGAAAATAACAGCCCTGCGCCCAAACCAGGCAGCAAGAATCTTAGGGATCTACATGGAAGGCTCAGGCACAAAAACATTTCAAAAGCATCTAATCCAAGAGAAAACCACCAAGTTTGCAAACACTATTAAATGAAAGACAACCACAGACAAACAGTTAAGATATCTTCACAATCAAGTATGGATACCATCAATAACATATCTACTATCAGACCTAATTCTCTCAGAAAAAATTTGCGACAACATAATGAGCCATCTCAACAAAACATACAAACACAAACTGAACATCTCCCAAATAGCTCCCAACATGATTCTTTACAATCCTTTAGAATACGGCTTCTTCCACATCTGGGACAGGCAAATCCTCTTACATGCAAACAACTGGCAAAAAATGATCAACAAAAATAACATCATAGGACGGATAACAAACATGAGACTACAAGAAGCACAAAACACTTACTGGTTAACAGATGCTATCTCAAGTATCAACTTCAAAATGCCAATCACACCCCTAGGAAAGGACTTGACACACGACAAAATATTTCTACTAAGACAACAAGGTTTCACAAGAACTATAAATGCAATTGAAATTATCCAAAAGACTGATACAACAATTGAGGAAATCATAGAAACAACCTGGTATAACAAACACAGAAAACAATTAGCAAAAAACCAGATAATGTTCCTTAACCAATTCACTAACTTTGCAGGTACAAGACTAGTAGCATGAGTAGAAATCACTTACCCAAACAAGAAACCAAACTGGAAAAAACTCATATGGTACAAAGAACTGCAGGACAACTTCAGAATTCACGAACTAATCAAACAAAGAGCAACAAATCAAACCAAACATACAACTCGCAATAGAAACACCAAGTAACAAGATCAAGTAGGTAACAAACAAAACAAACAAACATGATGTAATTGGAAGAAAAAAAGCAATAATAGAGAATACAGTCAAGCTACAACACTACACAAAAATCAACGAACAGTCCCCACTGCAAGAATGTTATGGATGTGCCATAGACACACAAGGGAAACCAGAAGAATGCATATTCAATAGAGACTTCTGCAGCTTAATAAACATTCCAGTACACAAAAGCAGAAAGAGCTTTAGATACAAAATAAACAAAACAATAGTACACAGAAGCTGCATAATATCACCAAGTCTCCAAACGATGCTCAACACAACCTTTCCACATCGCAACCTTCCCAAACCACCACAAATAACTCAAAACGCACTTCATATCAACAAGCAAATAATTCAAAAAATGATAAACTCATCATCAAATATTATTAAACAACTAGCAATGATTAGACATAGAATCGGGAATCTCAAAACAATAACTGTATACACCAACAGATCTCTAAGTAAAGACAAAAGAATGGGATTTAGATGGCACATTTCACAAATACCAGAAATCAACTTCCAAGAGAGAATTGAAAAATTTTCATCATCTACCAGAGCAGAACTAGCTGCAATAGCTTTCTTCCTTATAACAACCCCAGCAGGTAGCAAGGTGATAATATATAGTAACAGTCAGACAGCACTAAACGCCATAGAAAAAACACAAAAAAATTACTCAAAAATAAGAATACTCAACAATAACACCCTAATCAACTCTATTATACATACAATTAACTCACAATACATCCAATACATAGGAAAAAAAATCAAAGCTCACAACCAAGACTCAAATAATGACAAAGCAGACCAGCTGGCCAAAGAAGCAGCAAATCTAAATGCCGACTTCATTATAAACATTATACTTCAAAAACATAACAAACAAGGATGGCTCCAAGAATAAAACGGACAGATCTTGGAGAACACAATATCACAAACATATAAGAACATAGCCAGAACCAAGTACATTCTCAGCTGGAGAATACTCAACTACAACTTAATAACAATTACAAACTGACACATACTAGAAGATATCAATTGATCAGAATTCATAACACATAAATATCTATCAAAAATCACAACAGGAACAACAAACCGAGAAGACCACAATGCCAGATCCTTCAGACTAAAACTATGGAATCTGGAACTTCCAACAAAAGACAAATTACACTAAAGATCCAATACAACGTACATTGACGACAGATGCATTATGTGTAACCAAGACTCAGAATCAAATACACATTGCATGACCTGCACACAAAATGGAAATGACACCATTAAGATACTTAACCAAATCATAAACGAAGAAGTCAGCAGTCGAACAAAAGTAAAACTAGAACACAAACTCTCTAAAGAAATAAAGAACATCAAGAGTTATGGACCCAAGAAATCCAGAATTGCGTTGCAAAAGAAGCGCTAATATCCAAACTAATACACATAATCAAAAAACACACAGACAAAGACAAACAAGCAGAAACAATAGGTCAAATTATACAAAGGTTTTTAACAGAACTATACTCCAAATGGAAAAACAGATGTGAACACTTTGCCAAATGGGAAAACGAAAACAACATTACAAGAGAAGACAAAAAAAGATGGAGTACTAACAAGAAAAAGAAAAGCCAAAACAAAACCTTTATATTAGAACTTAACAAAATCATTAAACAAGCCAGCTACAACTGGATCACTGGAACACAATTTACTTATTCGAACTATTTTTATTTGGAACAGGTAGAGCCTTGGCAAATTATCTAAGTATATGCCAGTATTTAGCAATAAGTTGCACAGTAGAAAAGTTCCTTAGTGAGCTTTATTTAGGAAAAATGAGTGGGAAATTTGTATAAAATAGATTTGTACATACTCAATTAAATAAACTTAATAAAGCAAGGTGTACGCCACCCAGTTAAAAAAAATATTTTAAAAAAAGTATAAAACAAAATAATATTTTTGTTATATATTTAATAAATATTTATTTAAACTAAATAATAATATAAATATAAATAATTTTCAACTAAAAAAAAATTTTTATTAAAATTTTTTTTTATTAATCCATTATTTTTAATTTATTATTTTACTAATTTTTAATTTCAATTTAAAAATTTCTATTGCATTTTATGTTTTATATCAAAATTCTATAAAATAAAAAGCAATTTTAATATAATTTTTCATTGGTTTTTCGTTTAATATAAAAGATTTTAAAAAGAATGACCTAATAATTTATATTGCTTTTTTTTAAAAAAATTATTTATTAAATAGTAATAAAATTTTAATAAAAAAGACTTGATGTTTTTTTGTTTCATACTGTATATATTATAGAAATTTAATTAAAAATTTATTAATTGATTACATACTGTATATTGATTTAATAAAACAAGTAATTGTGTTAAGTAAAATATTGATTAAATGGTTTTAATAAGTATTATACAAGAATTATATTAAATATAAAAATATATTTGATTTACTAATATAAACAATTTAAATATCATTGGTGTTATTATTTATAAATCTATTATTTTAATCAAATCCAAAAATATATACAGTAATGCAAAAATGAGTTTTGAATTTCTTTTCTTTTTTTAGACTTAATTTGATCCAGCTGAATTTTTTTTCTCTCTATTCCTTTACTGTGTCATTTCTTTCAATAACTTTTTTTTACGAATCAACTCAGTTTACTCTTGAGCTGTTGGTACTTTAAAGTAATTTTGTTAATTAAAGATACTTGATTTGCCAACAATAATCATTTCGCTAATTACGCATACAATAAGCTTGATATTCTTATTATTATCATTTATGCTTTGTATAATTATTAACTACAGACAATAAAAAAAAAAACTAATAATATATCTAATATTTTTATGTAATAAAGCTTTTAATTAATTGATATTATCTTGTATTGTTGAGCGACATGAAAATAGCACTACGTATGCGACTAAATCCTGACGGTTATCATCTGCTAATAGTTTATATTTACAATACAAATAAACTTTGTTGAATTTACCTGACAAAATTGATGTTTATGCTTTATACAACTTTTATATTCTGTATACTGTATCTAATTAACTCAAATTATTCGCACTGCAAAGTTCCTAAAATAAATTTTTTTTTAACATCCCTAATATCCATCGATATTAATTCGAATTTCACTTTTCTCTTCTCCATTAGCACTACTTATATTGTTTACGGTATTTTCTACGCCACCAACTCTACTCACACTATCTATTGTATTTTCTCCACGTGTTCTCTCCTCTCTATACTTTTTTTGCAACTTCCAAGCTTCAAAACATTCCTTCCTATATATCCATTCGTTTTTAATAGCTTCCCAAATTCTCACACCTACTTCATGAACCAGAATTCCTATCGGTATAAATAAAAAATAAACCATAACGCTAAATATAATAATCCCCGCATTTATCCAAGATGCAACGGCTACTTTAATGTGATATTGGCATGTTAAGTTAAGCGGCCCGTCGATCCCAGGTATCACATAAAATTTTGGATCGTACTCTTAAGATAGTAGATAAAACAATTTAGCACAAAACTCCAATTTAAAGAGAATTAACAAAAAAACTTACCGCGCGGACATGTTAGAGGTTGGCCACGAATAAAGTCAAGAGATGCAGTACAAGCATATATTATCGATAATATTAATGCTACACTAAGAAAATAATGGAAAAATCCATGAATTCTATTTCCTTTAAAGTTTAAATTTTTTAAAAACTTACATAATCTTGCGGGGGAATATCAGTAAAACCATATTTGCATCTAATAATTATGCCAAAAACGAGAGAGAATTGATATAATTTTCTATAACGTTTAAAGAAAATAATTCATACATACAGATAAAAAAGGACCATATCCAAATATCGTTGTATATCTTTACTCCAAACTTTCTGTTAAATTTGATCGATGGTTATCAAGTGAAGTATAATAAATCAACTATAAATAGGCAACAACTTGACTACCTTAAATCAGCCCAATACTCGGGAATTACGCTTTCATCTTCGCCATGTGTTTCGTTATAATATTGTGCTCTCATAGAACCGGCATCTTGGTAATTTTCTAACTCTCTAAGCTCTATAGTTATTAACAATTAGTTCATACTATAATCACGACGATAGAAATGATACATTACACTAATAAAAATGATAATTTGATAATTTACAATACCAAAATGCATACAGGCAATACACGAAGCAAATCCAACGGTACACATTAAAAAAGTCATAAATTTCCTTGTAAACTTTTTATTGATTCGATAATATTGATCGAAGAAGGAGAAAGAACTTTTAACGGTGGGTTTCCTCCTTACTGATGGGTTGATTAAAAAATTCATTTTTGCAAGATCAAACATTAGAACGCTTTTGCAAAGATTATTGACACTATCTTATGATGGTTTTTCTAGTATTTATAATATTTTTTATTTATAATCACACGACTCGATCCACTTGATCATCTTTGTAGTTTACCGTATAGGTGACAATGACAATGTAGACACGGGGTTGTTCCAAGGAAATCTTTTCCGAAGTTATAAGCATATACAGTATTTGATATTTAATACGAGAAATCTTTCAAAAACAGAAATAAAAGCCTTTCCTATCCGGGAAACTTACGTGCATATATACGTACTTTGTATTTATTGTGACAAGTTATTGTATTACGTATTCGTAAAATGGGTACTGTGCATGAATAATTTGTCATTGAAAAATTATTGTTAATGGTTATTGACAAGCTGCGATTGATAAAACTTTAAAGTCAACTTCGTTCTACAAAAAACCTTTTTAGTTCGAACATTATACGGTAAATGTTATTTTTATACTAAATTAAAATTATAAAAATTATAATTGAACTTAAATACAGATTTAAAAAAATAGTACTCAATAATTTATAGCGTAGCAGAACAATGATCCTAAGCGTATTAAAGTTACTTGGTCAAAAAATTTTCAATAAAACGGTTTTGTCTTATTGTATTATTGTTGAAAAGCCTTGATATTAACATGATTAAATATCATAAAAAATTTTTAGAAAAAAAATCTTAAAATATCAAAGATTTAAAAATAAAAATATTTATAATTAATGTAAATAACAAAAATAAGTTAGTATCAACATTAACCCATTTTATGTTCTTATAAAAATCAATAAATTATAAGATATACAATGTATTTTAAAACTTTTTGAAACTTTTTGTTCACGCAATTCTTAAAAACTATTATATAAAATTAAATAATCTCTTTCTTGTTTTTTTTTTATAAAAACTTTTTTAAAGGAAATTTTAATAAAACAAAAATAAAACTTGTTTGATTTTTCTTTCAACGTTCAGTTTTATTAATGTATTAAATTAAATATCAGAATTAAGCATACTAATAAGATATTGGTTTTTTTTTAAAAAAATAAAAGGTTATCTTTGTCAAAACAAATACAATAATTTTATTTACATTTAACTTCTGCTATATATGTGCCAACGTTAAAAGTTTTGTAATAAGAATTAAATCTAATTAGATTAAAATTTTAAAATAATTTTGTTTATATATAGCATAATGTGAAAGTATTTAAACTAATATTTTTTATCATAATTTAATAAATATTTATTCAATTTAAATAAAAATTTTTAAAACAATTGTTGAATTAATATTATTAAAGTTTTATTATTAATTAATTATTAAATTTACAAGAAAATATTAATTTTAAAGTTTTTAAAAAACTTTATAATTTACTCTCTTCTGATCATGTTCATTTTATTAAAAAATTTTCTTTTATAATAATTTCAAGCAAAAAAAAATATCTTATACTCTTTATTGCAAGTAAGCCCCTGCTTAAAAGCTTCAGTTACATAAGAAAAATCTATGGCAGTTTTCTATTTTTTTGTTTTTTTGCATATCTTCTTACAGTGGGTAGACAAAAGTTTAAGTAGAAATGATTAACATAAGATTTTTTTTAATTTTTATCCGGATTTGAATTGAAATTGCTTATCGAATATAGAGATAAATTAAAGTTAAATAGTTTATTTAGAAAGTTAAGATTTTCAACTTTGAATAAATTAAAAATAATGTCTTTACAATATTGTCGTCAATTAACAAATTTCGAATGTGGAAAAATTATTGGTCTTTTTAAAAATAGTTCTTTTATAACAAGTATTGCCAAAACTTTGAATCATTCTTTAATTACAGTTACAGATATAATCAATATATATAAAAAGTATGGAAGAACTACTGTTGCTACTCGATCAGGCTGTCCAAAAACCTTGAATGCTCATGTAACCAGGTGTGTTGTTAGAATTACCAAAAGTAATTGTTGTCAAACAGCTGAACAAATTACAAAACAATTTAATACAGCTATAGATACTACTGTTAATACTAAAACTATTCACCATACTCTTTATAAACAAGGTTTTTATAGTTGTGCTGAAGTTAGAAAACCTTTAATTTCAGAGCAAAATAAAAAAAATAGATTAATATTTTGTAAGGATAAAAAAAATTGAATTAATAAATGAGAATTAGTAATTTAAAATGATGAATCCTAGTATTTAATTTTTGAAAATAATATATATAAATGGGTTTGGAGGCAATCAAAAGAAAAATATGATAAAAATTGTCTTTTACCAATTGTAAAATCAAATGATGGGATAATGGTGTGGAGATGTTTTATAAAAAATATGCTTGGGCCGTTAATTGAAGTTTTGGATACTATTAATGGTCAAAAATATTTAAAAATTCTTGAAAATTATCTTCAATCATTTATAATGAATTTATCAACTATACCTTTGTATATTTTTCAAAATGATAATGCACCTTCACATAAAACAAAAAAAATATTAAAATGGAAAGAAGAAAAAGCAATTGAATCATTTTTATGGCTAGCACAAAGTCTGGATTTAAATTCTATTGAATATTTATGGGATATTTTTATGGCTAGCACAAAGTCTGGATTTAAATTCTATTGAACATTTATGGAATATTTTAGAAAGACAAGTTTGTGCAAGGCCTAAACAACTTAAAATAAATCTGAATTGATAATGGCTTTAAAAGAAGAATGGGATTTAATTAAACTGGAAACTTTAAATACTTTAATTGATAGCATATATCATATAGTTTCAGCAGTTATAAAGGCATAATATTATTATACTAAATATTAACTATATAGATAAATAGTTTTATTTTTATAAAATTAAATAAATATAATTTTTATATAAATTTATTATTATATTCAATATTAATTACAGTACAAAAGTTGAAAAAAATCAACTGCTAATCATTTTTTACCTAAACTTTTATCCATCCACTGTATTCTTATTCTATTATAAAAACTATCCATATTATTACTATTATATTTACTAAATCAAATATATATACTTAAACAAAATTACATCATAGTAATACTTGCTATATTTTTTCAAATTCTCCAATATTTTTATCTAACCAAAAAATCAAAATTAGTTTATTTTGAATTTGTTTAAACTAGTTTTATATTATAATACAATAATAATTATAACAATAATTATAACAATAATATCAATTACCTTACTATTAATAACTTAGATAATAACTAATATCACATATGTTCTGTTATCTATAGTAACCAAAAAGCTGAAAAATAAGCCTATTTAAAAACTTTCTTAAAAAATCAATTTATTTATTATTTATAAATTCCATAGTCTATTTAATTTATTTTAGTTTTAAATCCATTTATTTATCTCTTTTTAATTATTTTATATTTAAAAAATTATAAAAAATTATAAAATTTTCTGAGTTAATAAATATAGCCACTACTCTACTTTATCTAGTATATTAATATTGCTTTTGAATTTTTTTTCAATATTAGTTAAATATTGTTAAATAAGCAAACTAGTATTTAATTTATTATATGTCTTTATCCAAAAGATATTGTTTCTTTTATGATGTTTATCTTGTTATATACAATATTAAATAAAAAATAATATAATTTATAAAAATAAAAAAAAAACTCTTTCCCGTACACAACATTTTTCCTAAAAATTTCCTTTTATAGTAATTTTCAAAATTAGAGAAA